TATAGGTTTCTTTTTTTTCATTTGGCAAATTAATTGTACATACATCAGAGATGTGCAAATTAATTGGATTTTGATTTTTTTTACTATTTATGAAAAAATACCAGCTATAGAACTTAAATATTTTTTTCTTCAAAATATTGCATGAAGGGTACATCATTTTTCTGGGTGGTAACTCCTCCTACAGTTTTTAAGATAAGTTTTTTTTTTTTAATTTTGCAGATCAATTGTACTTATATCTTAGATATGTGTATACTTGGATTTTGATTTTTGATTATTTATGGGGAAAATACCATTTGTTGGGCTTTGTCATTTCAATGAAAAATATACTACATTTTAATTTCATATTGTTGGAATGTCACCTCCTACAGTTTTTCAGAACAGAGAGTTTATATGATATTGATGAGGTTCACCTTTACAAGAGTTTGTTTCGTCCCCTTTCCGGGGTCAATCTAGGGTCAACCGGCGTAATGGTCATCCAGCGTAAGGTGTTGTTTTCCCTGTGTAACATTATCAACTTAAAATTAATGAGGCAGATTCCGAGCAATGAAAAACAATACAGGTAATCACGGGTAAGTTACAGAGGAGAAAAAAATTAGTATTGTGCCCTAAAAGGGAAACAACTATTGAAAATGCAGAGTTTATTCAGCCTATTTTACGAGAAATACAGCGTCGTGCCAAATGTATTAGAGAAAAAGTGGCGGACATCGCAAAAAGTTCACGCTTTGCATTTTTAGCTCACCTGAGCCGAAGGCTCAAGTGAGCTTTTCCGATCAAAATTTGTCCGTTGTCTGTCGTCGTTGTCGTTGTTGTCGTAGTCGTCGTCGTCATCATAAACTTTTCACATTTTCATCTTCTTCTCAAGAATCACTTGGCCAATTTCAACCTTATTTGGCACAGAGGATCCTTGGATAAAGATGATTCAGGTTTGTTCAAATGAAGGGCCACATCCTTTTCAAGGGGAGATAACTAACAAATAGTGAAAATTGGGGGGGGGGGTCAAAAATTTTCTTCTCAAGAACCACTGGGCTAGAAAAGATTAAACCCTACTCAAGAACAGTAAAGCGGAATTTACATAATAAAAAAGTTTACAGAAGATTGGTAAGAAAACTTATGGTTGAGAAATTAATAGAAGAAAAAGTTTGGCATGGCGTATTTCAAACGAAGATGGACTGTTGAATAAAATTGGAATCCTATGATCATATTTAGTGATAAATCTCAACTGATTATATGCCAAAATAACCTTGTGTATGTCTGAACATCCGGCCAAGAATCGTATCGTCCGAAGTGCATATATGCAATTTCAGAAACCAAACATTTCCGTAATGATATGAGGATGTATCAGCTGGTATGGTCCAAGGACTTTATATGAGATACAAAGTAACAATAATCAAGAGAAATATATAAACTTCCTTGACAATCACCTATGGCCTGTTATTGCCGACATTTCCCTGCAAACTACTTTGTTTTTAAAGATGACAACGAACCAGTGCATAGAACTCCGCGGCTAGGATAAGGCTGTCCGATAAATATCACAGTGTACCAGCCGTTGTTACTTCTCGGAACTACCCAGATATAACGTCATGATAGAATATGACGTCAAGTCACTGCAAACTTGAGCAGTGATGACGGGGAGAGTTTCATAACTTTTACATTCCTTCCCATGGTATATAGATTTTATTTTGACGTTGATGTTTAAGTCAGGTGTCTGAATTGTTGGATGAAGTTTCCATGTGCTGTTATGATGGTGATTATTTGCAATAGAATATCGTCATTCCTTTTTATGCCCCCGTAATCGAAGATTCGGGGGGCATATAGTTTTTGCCCTGTCCGTCCGTCTTTCTGTCTGTCTGTTTGTCCGCAAAACTTTAACCTTGCCCATAACTTTTGATTGGTTTGAGCTATGGCTTTCATATTTCACATGTGTATTCCGTATGACAAGACCTTTCTTTAGGTACCATAAAATTTGACCTTTTAACCTTGACCTTGGAGTTTGACCCACTTTTGCTAATGTTATTTCAGACTTTAACCTTGGCCATAACTTTTGATTAGTTGGTGCTAAGGCTTTTAAACTTCACATCTGTAATCCTTGTGACAAGACCTTCCTTCGGATACCAACAACTTTGACCCTTTGACCTTGACCTAGGAGTTTGACCTACTTTTGAAAAAAACGTTAACTTTGGCCATAACTTTTGAAAAATTGGCGATAGGGCTTTCATACTTCACAGGTGTTATCCTTGTGACAAGACCTTCCTTTGGATACCAACAACTTTGACCTTGATCTTGGAGTTTGACCTACTTTTGCAAAACTTAAACCTTGGCCATAACTTTTGAACGGTTAGTGCTAGCTCTTTCATACTTCACATTTGTAATCCTTGTGACAAGACCTTCCTTCTGATATCAACAACTTTGACGCTTTGACCTTGGAATTTGACCTACTTTTGAAAAACTTTATTTTTAGCCATAACTTTTGAACGATTAGAGGTAGGGCTTTCATACTTCACATATGTAATCCTTGTGACAAGGCCTTCCTTTGGATACCAACAACTTTGACCTTGATTTTGGAGTTTGACCTACTTTTGCAAAACTTTAACCTTGGCCATAACTTTTGAACGGTTAGTGCTAGCTCTTTCATACTTCACATTTGTAATCCTTGTGACAAGGCCTTACTTTGGATATCAACAACTTTGACCCTTTGACCTTGGAATTTAACCTTCTTTTGAAAGATTTTAACCTTGGCCATAATTTATGAACGGTTGGTGCTAGGGCTTTCATATTTTACATGTGTATTTTTTGTGAGGAGGCTTTTCCTTTTGACCATTAATTTTGACCATTTGAACTTGACCTTGATGTTTGTCTTACTTTTGAAAAACTCTAACCTTTTCCATATCTATTAAATGGTTGCTGCTAGGGCTTTTATATTTCACAGGTATATTCCTTGAGACAAGACCTTACTTTGAGTATTAACATATTTGATTTGCATTTGAGAAAGTTTAACCTTTGTTATGAGTTGCCATACGGGGGCATCAGTGTTTCACAAACACATCTTGTTTCATTCTGATAATGTATGTATTCAAACAATACTAAAAAATTAATATGAAATGCTCCTCCTTACACGTTCGAAGACTTTTAAAATTTATAAATCATGCATATATTAGACTGGCACAAGTGATTAATAAAGATAAACTGAAGATGTTTTATGTGAATCTATTAGAGAAGTGTGACTTCTAACTTAATTTTGCTAAGGGATGGTATGTGATTTATCCTATTTTGTATAAATTGTGATGAAGAGTGGAAAATACCCCCCTTGTATGTAGGTAAGTTGAAGTTTTCGTGAAATATTTTCTAAAGAAGCAAAACTCAGACTGGCCCCCAGCACTTTATATATACACAAGAATACGTTTAATTGATTTAACAGACTGTTCTCATTAATTTTGCTTTTCACTTGTGCCGATTGGATATTTATGCAACAATTAGGAATCAACACAGTCATGTGACATCACAAATTTGCTTTTTTACAATACCTTATTAAACTTTCTTCACAAATTTACTGCACATGTATACATAGATTACAAATTGAAATCAAAATCTAGCTCAAAATATAATAGGGTATTCCTAATGCATGTTAAGCCTTCGGACAGCCTTAACATAGCCGCGTCGTGTTGTAGATGAATATGCACGCGTAAATAACAATCAGGGAATGGCGTGGCCAACCCAGAGTCTTGACATTATATTATAGAAAAAAATTGGCATAGATATGAAAGACAGATCCAAAATCATGCAGGAGATACGTATTACTATATTACTATAATATGGATTGCTATCTCAGCTGTTTGATGTTATTTCAAACACTTGGCAGAATTTCTATAAACTCATCCCAAGGCGCACCATGGCATGTGTTAGATCCAAATGACATTTAACAAAGTACTAAAGGTAAGCATTTATTTTGTTTTTATTATATTTTATATTATACAAGATAAAAGATACCACAGAGTCTGACACATCTGTTTCATATTTGGATATTTTACTTGAAAAAGACGTTAATAGTAATCTAACAACCAAGCTTTATGATAAACGTAATGACTTTAACTTTTCAATCGTCAATTTCCCTTACTTATGCAGCAATAAACCTTCATCACCTGCATACGGGGTTTATATCTCTCAGTTGATTCGATACGCAAGAGCATGCTCTACGTAAGTACAATTTCTAAAACGAGGTAAATTATTGACAAACAAGTTGATGAAACACAAGAATATCAGCAGTCTCGTTTAAAGTCTTCATTTCGTAAGTTCTATGGTCGATAGAATGACCTAGTCAGCAAATACAATTTACCATTGAGTCAAATGCTGACTTACGTTTTTCGTACTAATTGATAGGCCATTATTTACACACTGAATTGTCCACGGATTTTTCCGTTATTTCCGGATCATGACAAGGAGCTCACGGCGGTTGTGACCGGTCGGCAGGGGATGCTCACTCCTACATGGCACCTGATCTCACCTCTGATGTTTTGAAGGTTCGTGCTTGCCCTGCTCCTATTTTGTAATGTTTAATGGACTTTTGAGCTTGAATACAGTTCGTTATCTCCATATATTTCACTTTTACATTGCAAGCGCGATTACTCTCGAATCACGTCCGCCATTTTTCCGCAAATACTTTTGGCACGACGCTGTACCAGTAATGTTCACTCAAAGAAAAACCTGGTTTGATAGCTTTCCAATTGTTTTCTTAATCATTCATAGTGTTCATCACTCTAGATATTTGATAATTTGAATTTTTCCAGTTTTTTTTGTCTTCGATAACAAGATTGTGGTCAGTATCAATACATAGTCCTACACCACACGGATATTCTATATAACGGATAAAGTTACCATCGGAGTCTATAATGTGGATAATATCATTTGAGCTGTCACAGATCAATATTTGAGTATTGACATCAGCAGCAATGTGAGATGGAAAAAAATCTTCATATTTTGAGAGTTTGGAAACGTTGCCTTCATACTTGAATTGTAGCCCCCCAGAAGAATTAACCACAATGACTGCACCTCCGACATGGTCAGCAACACAGATATCTCCATTAGAGTTTTCAGTCAGGTGAAGTACAGTTTGATTATCTCCAGTTGAAAACAGAGGTCGGCCCTGACTGTCATACTGGATAGTCTGAATCTCTGTGGTCCCTGAATACCTCACCACTCTACTCTGTGTCTTATCTATGGAACGCATACTCACTAGTAAATGTCCGTTAATGAATACCATAGACCAACAGGAAACCATCCAAGTATGCCAAATAATACCTTCACTTTTTCCTCATTGTACATGTAAATAACTGTATTTTGAAAACACACCGTTGAAAACACTGGTTCCTGATGTGAATTAATGGTTAGTGCCCACACATTATTAATTGTATGAATTGTTTTCAAAATGGATCCAGTCCTGTCTATTTGTTTGATTGTGCTGTCATCTCCACTGATAAACATCTTATCTCTCCCCACACATCGCATTCTCCACACCCTGTACTCACCTTCATAAGGACTTTGTATGGTTCTTAGAACCACATGGTCATCCATCATTTTCAGCATTAAGGGTTTTTACTTCGAGTTATCCCCAGTGTGAAGAAAACCGAACTTTTCAACAATCTGGTCTTTTTTAATAATACCAGGATTTAATTGTGGACAAGAAAATGTCGGTAATTCTGGGCCTTTTCGGAAATCCCCATTTCTTGATTGGTAGATTATTATGGCTGTGGCATCATTACCTTTAATGATATCTTTATTCTCTTGAACAATTTGATTGATTTCTTTTTCAGCCAAAGACTGGTTTTCTTTGTATTTTCTTATAGCTTCTGTTTTCTGCCTAGTTATTTCATCTGTAAGTTGAATGCTTGTTTCACATACAGCTTTCCAGATTTTATCTTCTTGTTCTTTTATGGCAGAGAGAACTTTGTCAAACTCTGCAGTGGTAGTACTCAGGTTTATATTTCTGTATTTTGGAACAATTGTACTTTCCAGTTCTTATGTGTCAGCTATCATTTGTTGTTTATATTCCCTAAGAATATCATTGATATCAATAAATTCATGTTTTTTGTGTGAAGTGATCAGACATTGAATACATATTGGTATTTTACAGTCTTGACAGTATGTCTCACATTGTTTTTTCTTGTGTACAGGACATGTAGGAAGAACAACAGTGTCTTCTTTTCTAGAAGTATATCCAACAACTTCATGTCCCCTAGATTTGTCTGCCATGTGTTTTGGTATGCAAGAAAGACAGAGGTCCACATGACAAAGATTGCAGTGGTGTTCTACAGGGTTTTGACAAAACTGACAGCAAATGATATCCTGTCCTTGGGTGGTAGCCATATCTATTACCTGGTTGAATTATATTGTGATAACGTATTCATTGAATTTCATTAATTTAATTATCATTTTGATATTAATGCTTGCGCATGCATCATTTTTATATGCTTGATATTGTATTACTGTGAGCAAGTCGATTATACAAATTCACAAATCAATAATAAATAATAATATATTGAGGTAAAAATTAAATATCGACAAAAATGTACAGAAATAGTATTTTAAGTTTTAATGATTATAGCTTCTGCATTTAATCAGTAACATTGATAAAGATAGTATTAGAGAGACTCAATGACATACTATTTCCTGTCAATTTTCTATATAAATTTACTTTCGTTTTACACTAGTGTAATGGATGTTCTGGATCAATATAGAGCTTGGTATTTTGTGTAGTCAGGTAATCTGGTGATTTAAATTTTTAACGTTTAAAACTGGGTCATCATTTTATTAACATAATATCTAGCGGGAAAGGCTTTTTTCCTGCTAGCCATGCACAGATCAGAACTATAAAAATGTACCTTCCCCTTTACCTGAAAATTTATTGTCCAACTCTTTTTTCTTTGCATGTTTTTTTTTTCTTTTAATTTGTTTTTGTTTTTTATTTTGTTTTTTAGGGGAGGGGGGGGGCTTAATTGAAGCCTTCCCCCCCAAAAAAAAAATATGAAAAAAAAATTACAATGAATTTTTTTATACAAAATCTAGCATTGCATGTACCTCCTTAATCAAGTGTTCTTGAACATTTGTGATAATGTTTGAGCACAGCCCATGTAAAATCATTTATATATTGTAAAATCATTGATTGGTTTGCATAAAAAACACAATTTAATACATATTAAAATGTTGTGTAAGTAAAACTGGAAACCTGATATAATAAAATTTTAAGAGATAACTCTTACTGGTTGCATTTATTTTTTGTTTTCATTTGTATATTAAATTTTAACCCCGCAAGCAAAGTTTAGGGCAGGAGGGTATTTTGGAATCAACATGTCCGTCCGTCTGTCTGTGTAGTGCATGTGACCCCCCCCCCTTTTAAAATGATGTAATTATAGTAATGTTAGGTTACATGGTGTAACTTTTTTAGCTCACCTGAGCTGAAAGCTCAAGTGAGCTTTTCTGATCACATTTTGTCTGTAGTCCGTCTGTCTGTCTGTCCTCTGTCCCTCTGTCCGTCCGTCTGTAAACTTTTCACATTTTCGACTTCTTCTCCAGAACCACTGGGCCAATTTCAACCAAACTTGCCACAAAGCATCCTTGGGTGAAGGGAATTCAAGTTTGTTCAAATGAAAGGCCACGCCCTCTTCCAAGGGGAGATAATTAAGAATTGGTGAAAATTTGGTGTCATCTTTTAAAAATCTTCTTCTCAAGAACCATTGAGCCAGAAAAGTTTATACTTATGTGAAACCTTCATTACATAGTGTAGAATCAAGTTTGTTCAAATCATGACCCCCGGGGGTAGGGTGGGGCCACAATGAGGGATCAAAGTTATACATAGGAATATATAGGGAAAATCTTTAATAATCTTCTTCTCAAGAACAACAAAGCCACAATTAGTCATATTGATATGGAATCATCCTCAGGTAGTGTAGATTCAAGTTTGTTCAAATCATGATCCCCGGGAGAAGGGTGGGGCCACAATGGGGGATCAAAGTTTTACATAGGAATATATAGGGAAAATCTTTAAAAATCTTCTTCTCAAGAACAACAAAGCCACAATTAGTCATATTGATATGGAATCATCTTCAGGTAGTGTAGATTCAAATTTGTTCAAATTATGACCACTGGGGGTAGGGTGGGGCTACAATGGGGGATCAAATTTTTACATAGGAATATATAGGAAAATTCTTTAAAAATCTTCTTCCCAAGAACAACAAAGCCACAATTAGTCAAATTGATATGGAATCATCCTCAGGTAGTGTAGATTCAAGTTTGTTCAAATCATGACCCCCGGGGGTAGGGTGGGGCCACAATGAGGGATCAAAGATTTGTATAGGAATATATAGGAAAAAAATCTTCTTCTCAAGAACAACAAAGCCACAATTAGTCATATTGATATGGAATCATCCTCAGGTAGTGTAGATTCAAGTTTGTTCAAATCATGATCCCCGGGAGAAGGGTGGGGCCACAATGGGGGATCAAAGTTTTACATAGGAATATATAGGGAAAATCTTTAAAAATCTTCTTCTCAAGAACAACAAAGCCACAATTAGTCATATTGATATGGAATCATCTTCAGGTAGTGTAGATTCAAATTTGTTCAAATCATGACCCCCGGGGGTAGGGTGGGGCCACAATGGGGATCAAATTTTTACATAGGAATATATAGGGAAAATCTTAAAAAATCTTCTTCTCAAGAACAACAGAGCCACAATTAGTCATATTGATATGGAATCATCCTCAGGTAGTGTAGATTCAAGTTTGTTCAAATCATGACCCCGGGGGGTATGGTGGGGCCACAATGGGGGATCAAATTTTAACATAGGAATATATAGGGAAAATCTTTAAAAATCTTCTTCTCAAGAACAAAAAAGCCACAATTAGTCATATTGATATGGAATCTTCCCCAAATATTGTAGATTCAAGCTAGTTTAAGGCATCCTCCAGTGGTAGGGTGGGGCCATAATGGGGGATCAAAGTTTTACAATAGAACATATATAGGAGATATCTTTAAAAATCTTCTTCAATCTCAAGAACAACAAAGCCATGATCAGTCATATTGATATGGAAGCATCCTCAGGTAGTGTACAATCAAGTTTGTTCAAATCATGATCCCCCCCCCCCCCCACAGGGTAGGGTGTTAGACATATTTAAAATTCTGTTTTAAAGAACAGCAAAATCATGATTAGTTATATGAAGATAGAAGCATCCTCAGAAGGTTTATATTCAATTTCATTCAAAACATGGCACCTTGGGGTAGGGTATGCCTAGAACAGGTGATCAAAGCTTTATATATGAATATATAGGAGAAATATAGGAGAAGAAATCTGCTGACGAAGAACAGCAGGGCCATATTGACTCAGGTGAACGTTGTGGCCCATGGGCCTCTTGTATTTTATCCACAACAGTGTTTAATCATTCTGAGTCAATGACTGTAATATTTTGCTATATTTGTGTGAGCTTGGAGCGGGTTGATTTTTCTATCAAATAGGGTCAATGACTGTAATATGTTATCATGCATTGTGGTGATTTGGAGCGGGTTGATGAAGTTTGTTTATTCACAGTTTTATTTTGTTTTATATGAATGTGCTGTTCGCAGGGTTGTACCTAAGTCACTTAATTGTAAATGTATATACTTGTGAAACAAGAGTAGATTGATATATTTTGATAACATAAACATGACTGAGATAATTCGAACTGAGTTAGAGTTTGGTAAAAGATTAATAAAGTATGTCATTTGTAAATCAGCACTTAAGTATACATCGTACGACTATGACTGTGTGAAACAGTATGTGATTGTTGTTTGTTTAGTGTTATTTAGTTGATATGATACCTGTGAAATAGTCTAAACTTCTGTTGCACATTGTTTGACAGTTTCACTCTTCATTATGATGTACTTCCGATTTAGAAACTTGTTAAAGTAATTGATAAATTTATCCTTGCATTTGTAATATAACTGATAAATATATCGAGTTTGAATGGCGGTATCTTATGAATGACTGTATTTCAAGATTAACTGAATATTGTTTTAAGTTCAATTTATTTTATTTTAATAATTTATTGTGAAATATATTTTTAATTTAATTGATGAATATGTAAGAATTAATTATTTCATACTTGTATAGAACATTTGGTGACACTTGTTCACGTGAAAGATCGTGACGTTTTAATATTGACCAATCTGATTGTTCGATATAATTGATCATTAATTGATAATCCAATGAAATATCATAATTAATAATTCTGTTAATATCCGTCAATTTCCAGCATTTTCCGTTATTTTCTGCCACAGAGACATATAAAATTAGACGCTGAGAATTTTTACTCACTCTTCTGCTTATTTCGATTTGGTAGGTCCGTTTTACGGAACTTTTAGGGTTTTTTAGGATTTTATTTTAACTTTTATTTTGTCTATCTTTTATTTTTATTTAGGAATTTATTTTATTTTTGATTTATTCAGTTAGGATAGAATTTAACCGACTAGGACATTAAATAGTGTAAAATACTATTGTCCGCTATCGGTTGTTTTAAAGACTCAACAGTCTATGAAGTAGTCTTCTTCAGTAATTAATTTATCTAGGATTATTTTATTTTACATTTTTTACTCTATTTTATTTCATTTTTATTTTAATGCAATCTATGTAACTAAAGTTATACGTTTGCTACCTTTCTCTTTTATGATGACTAAAGTTGATTAGTTCAACGAAAGTCAATTATTTATTTTATTTTCATACAGTAATTTAATTACTCTAGATACGTAAATTTTTCGTCAATTATTTTTAATAGAAATTGTTTTATTAGAGTACTTTGGAATTTTTAAACGTTGCTTCTCGATAAACTTACTTATGATTATTAGAGTTATCTTTCTTTGCCCTTAGTGTTTACAAGCTAACCTGTTAAATACAGTAATGCTTGTTGTTAGGTTTAACATGTCAAAGTTATAAATAACCACGGCTTGTGTCCTTATTTAATAAAGTATTCTAGGAGTTTAACAAGCTAACCTGTTAAATACAGTAAAGCTTGGTGTTAAGTTTTACAAGTCAAAGTTATAAATAACTACGACTTGTTGTCACATATTTTATACGCATAGGAAATAGACGTTAGGTTTTTGAGGTGGTTTTTCAGTCTGTTTTATGGTATGATTTAATTATTCATTTTTATTAAACTTATTTATTATTATTAGTTTGGTATGAATGTGGTGTGAATGTCGTCGTTTAAATAAATTGTTTGTTGATAATGCAATTAATAAATTTAATTGTTTAATGTTTATAATCTTATGTCTTCTTTGCGAATGGTACATTTATAAAAGGAGTTGAGTGAATTATTTGTACTATGAAAACAATTTCTAGCAGAACCGCTAGCGTTACAGTCTGTAAAAGTGATTTGGTCCTGACCTGTTCTTAGAGACTATTGCATGGATTTGTCTGAAAAATTATGCAATCGTTATTCACTATATAAAGATGTGCACCTGGTATTTTTATCACGATTGAATGATCTTTCTGCATTTTACAGAATTTTTTTTTTCTCATTTTATTGACGTAGTCATTTTTGGTTAATGTAGTATTGAGACATAGAATCTAGAACTGCCAGTTGGTACATCAGAACCAGTCATTAGATTTAAAAAAAAAAAAATCACCAAGTTTAACATTGCTAAAAATAAGTTTTATCATGGTAGATAGTCTCAACAAATCTAAGAGTCACTTAGTAACTTTATTAAAAATGTTGCATCAAGATAACACTGTTTTTTTTTTATAATGCTTTGTAACAAATTTAAAAAGAAATCTTTTTTCCCGACAGAATGACATAAATATGCATTTTATTGTACTATAGACTACAAATCAGATTTTGCAACTCCATTCATCCTTTGGGAGTAATGAGTGAATATGCTTTCAGTTAAGATTGATTAATGAGTTCAATGTAGGAAGGCTAGCTGTCTCAATCTTTTCTGTTTGAGCATCTCTTATCAAGCAGGTGTTATCTGTATGCTTAGGGAATTGGGCAGAAAAATTGGACTCTTTCTTAATTACAGTTTATAGAACTATGTCACTTGATGGTCAGTTTATTTTTAAAATTAATTTGGTATAGATTAGGTTATTAAGACTAATTTTATTTGTATAACGTGATTTTTTTATTTGTGTTTGTTTTGTGTGTTTGTGTTTATCATTTGAAAAATCAACAAACTGCAGAGCATCATGCCTCAGAAATATGACAAATGGTTGCAATGCATCAAGTTTTACAGTCTTATAAAACAATAAAATGATTAGTATTTTGATGTTTTGTTAGGTTGTACTAGCATTGCTCATTAAATTGTAATTAAAATGCAATTATAGTTTGACTGTCAATTAATTTAAAAAAAAAATCTTGAACACCTCCAGATCCATCAAATACCTTTAGTGAATTGGTACCTTTTCAGGACAAGAAAACAAAACAAATATAAACCAAAAAAAAAAAAAAAAAAAAAACAGCGGGGAGTATAAGTCCATTTTGAACAGTTCTAGTTTGACCTTTTTTACATTATCATTTAAATAATTCAAGCTTTAAGATTGAAGTTATTGAACACATGTTGAAAGAAGTAATGTTGTCAATCAAGATCTTGGATGAAAATTTCAGTGTCCTAAACTTAATACAAAGAGAATGGACATTAATATGGGTTTATTCTCTAGCGGAATATTTGTCTTGCTCAATAGTAACAAATAAAAGTAATGCTTTGATGCACAGGTGGCAAAAAAGTGCAATGAATAAAGCTTAATTTATGCATCCATTCACAGTATTTCTACAGAGGACTTCTTCTAAGGAAAATACTGGGCGCCTTATTTCTAACAACACATTCAATAACAATCTCTTTTTATCAGAAAGGTGACATTTGTTGACTGCTCTGATTTTCAGAGTATATAGGACGCAAAAAAAATCCTCATGGCGCATGTCATCTAATAAAACTCAACAAAATGCAATTATCGCATTAGATTGGGGATTACTAATCTTTTCTTTTATTATTTGCTAACGTTAATGCTAATTACAAACGAGATCAAAAACCTTGGCTATACCTTTTGAAGTAGAGCTAGGGCTTTCATATTTTTTCTTCCCTGGGTTTCCTTAAATTTTGACCCATTGACCTTGACCTGGAGTTTTAAACTTTTGAAGAACTCAACTTTGGATATAACTTTCGAATGGTTAGAGCTTAGGCTTTCATATTCCACAGGTGTATTCATTGAGACAGGTCTTTTCTTTTCGGTAACAACATTTTTTTTATCTCCCAACTTTGACCTTGGAGTTTGACTTCCATCTGAGAAAACTTTAACCTAACTTTAACTATTAACTAGTAATAAGCTGCCATACATGGGTATCGGTGTTTGACAAACACATCTTGTTATTGATTAAGACTATGTGAATAATCATTTAAACACCAAGCAAATAAATTTATTTCTAAAATATTTTTCCAACTAATACATCTGCCATTTTAGCTAAATTATCCATTAACAGTGTTATATGAAAAAAGCTAGAGAAAGAAAAGATCCCTGTACAACCTTTCGTAAGTAGCCTTACATTGTACCTTTCAAGCCACAGGGGGCGCTTGCAAGGAAATACAAATTCAGATAAAATATATAACTGCAAAACAAAATGTCGAAAGGTTTGCAATTTTATTGTAGAAACTCTTTAAATGTAGATGGGGCCTTTTTTTTTTTTAAAGTTGCACTTGTAATGGTAAATAAAGCTTTAAAATCATAAATTATAAAATCCTCACTAAATTATTGTTTGTTTTTTCAGTAATGATGATGGTTCTCTTAGATAATACTTTATTGCCAATATATATTATACATGTATTACATAATCTAAAAATTCCATAATATGGCCTGGAAGGTGTTTTATGTACAATATAGCAACGATTTATTTAGCGTATGTGTCTCATGATGCCAACTCTTTATTACATATGATCGATATGTACATTAAAAAAAAACTTCGAAAATTTTTAATACTTTAATGAATTATATGATGAATTGAACAAATAACACCAAAATTATACTTTGCATGAATAAAAAAAAAACTGCAGCGTAAAGTTAATGCAGAAAATCATCAAGTTAATTATGAAGTTTACCTCATTAGCTGAAAAAAAAAAACATATTTCGAAACATATTTCAATTATAATGTTGAATCATAACTCTTTACCATTGTACACACTTGTCTGTAATGACACTGTACATAAACATTCCCGTTTCCTCTAACTGACTGATAATAACTTTAACGTTATTATACATACTTGGAAACTGATTGGTATCATTAAAAAATAAAGGAGAAAGAATTGTCCTGTCTTTAGCTTTCCTCACCAAGATATCTGATAACTTTTATTTTCCCGGACATCAGATCTCCTATAACCAGATTTCCATCAATATCGAGGCTTAGTCCACCTGTACAATGATATCCTAAATAGCGGAGAAAGGCGCCATTACAATCAATAAGGTGGACTATGTTGTTCGCAATGTCACTTACAACCATTTGATACTTGACATCAGTAGCGAAATGAGATGGTTTAAATGCCGATTTTTCTCCCTTGTTAGAAAAAGTACCTCGGTAATTAAATCGCAGTCTTCCCAAGGCATCCAGCACAACAACATTTCTCCCGCCATAATCAGCAATACAAATATCTCTATTTCTATTCTCAGCCAGATGAAGTGCAAAACTAACATTTATGGAAAATAAAGCTTTCCCCTTGTTGTTGTATTGAATATTTAGTGTCTCTTTGGTACCTGCATACTTCAGGACTCTGCTGTGGCCCTTCCTAATTGAACGCATGCTTATAAACAAATCTCCATTCATGGTGCAACAAACGCCAACTGGACACCAAGAGTCAAGATCCATTAGTGTTTGAATTTTATTGTTTTTCAATATATACACTTTTGTATTTGGCAAGACAAATGCAAATATAAGTTCCTTTTTTAAATTGCTTGCCAGTATTAAAGGCCGATTCACAGTGCTTATTTTTTGTAGAAGAGTTCCAGCTCTGTTGATTCGTTGGATTAGACGATTACTTCCGCTAAGCCATATCTCTGATCCTATGCAATGCAAATTGTCAAGCTTGGGGAAGACTTCGTAACTGGCATACGGACTTTGAATATTGTGAACAGAGATGTGCATGAAACAAAACATGGTCAGAAGTGCATCCTTTTCAACAAATCCAGGTTGAAACGTTGGACAGGTACCTTCTTGTTTTGGAACCGAACGGAAGTTTTGATTCTTTGTCTCATATCCCAAAAGTGCAGTGGCATCATTAGAGCAGAGAATGCTGTTGTTTTTCTCAATCATTTCATTAAGTTCCCCTTTAGTGTCAGCAACCAAGGCTAAAAAGTCATTATTTATTGGCTCTCTTTCTTGTTTCTTTTTGTCAATTTCAGCAACCAGCTGATTACCTATCTCATGCACAGCCATGCATATTTTTTCTTCTTGGTCTCTTATTGCATGTATAAAAGTATCAAACTTGGCAACTGATGACGCTTCGTTAATGTTGTTGTACATTGGAATTATGATGTCACAAAGTTCTGCGGTATCATTCAACGATTAGCTGCTTACGATTTTCCAGGACATTCTCAAATCTCAAAAAGGCGTGATCTTTGTGCTTACTTGTAACGCATTCTACACATATGGGAATTTGGCAACCTTTGCAGAAAATCTCACATCGTTTTTCATGATGGAGATATGGGTATTTTTCTTCTAGATTTGAACTCAACTTACTTCATGTTTTCTTGACTTGTCAGCCATGTGCACAGAAATGCACTTCGCACAGAGTTCAAAATTGCACAAATTGCGGTGATATTCAACAGGAATGGGACATAAACGACAACGAACGACATCCTGCCCTTGGAATAAAGCCATGTTCATTTTTTCTGAAAGTATATTGAAAATCTAAAAATCAAAAATACAATAAAAACAAAGTCAATGTTGTTTTATCAAATTGTTAGACTTGGTACAGAAGAGAAAGATAGAGAACTAGAACACTATTAACCGAACAAGATACAGTGAGAAATAGAGGTTTATATGCTGCAGATTTGGGCAATTTGGTCACTAACCATAAGGATGTCCAGCAAACCTTAGTAGAAGAAGCCAAAATGATTTAAACAAGTGCAGAGGACAGACACTAATCTTTCATCATTTCATTTGTCCTTTATTTTTCTGTGTTTTGAATTGCCGCAAGCGTTATCATTACTTATAAAAGATATTCAATTTAAAGATCCACTAAATCTCTAACACCTTAGCATCCTTGATTAATTTAAGATGCTGAATTTTAATACAAAATTTGTCAAAAGTCTGCTTTACCTTAGTAGCCGTACATTTTTAAAAGCTTTCTACATGTATGTAGATCCAAAATTACACATGCACTTTACCAAGATTTGTGGCATATTGATGAATTTGATATGTTGCCTTTAGATATCAGCAAAAATGTTCTGTACTTACTTTTTTGGTCTTGAAAGGAAAATGACATCTTTACTTTGGTTGGTAGTGGCCTTCTCAAATAAGACAGCAGTTTGAGAGAAACTTATGTACGTAAAATCCTTATATGCTTGATAAAGAAACTGTGAAGAGGTTAACACCGATTACTTGGAAAACTGTCAACCACGTAGGTATGGAGTATTAAGAATTATTGTAGCCTATAAAACGTCCTCAATTTTCATTGAAATATCGCTTGTTTAAACCATTTATATCTTAGGTAGGGATTAACCTTGTTCCTAATATTTGCATAAAACAAATTCCAAGAAAATTGATTATTGTGTAAATTGAAGTTTAAAATTCTTCGTATTCTATAGATCAATCACTGTTCGTTAGCTTCAACTTATTTCATTTGATAGATTTTTTTTTTAAATTGGGTTTTTCTTATGAATTGCTTACGTGCAACGGGTGAGATTACTTTTCCCCTCCTCAAAGGTCGCCTAGCCCGAGCTATGCAGCTTATAAGTGCTTTAAAGAAAGAAAAATGTTCAAACTCAGTTTCTTATTAAAACATTGCATTGGAACATTCCTAATGTTAGCGGTACTTCCTCTACATCATGAGGGTGCAAATACGTATTTAAAAAACAAAGTGTAATCTGAAAGCTCTAATAATTATAACATAGAGTTTTCATACTGCATGTTGATAATTCATTCTATAATTTTACGTTCTAAATCTGCAGTTAGTTCAAACTCAACGGTAATAAATTATTTTTTATCAATGATCAATGTCTGACTGTTTATTTTTCTATAACCTATACAAACTATGTGTTGATTATTTCTGAGTTTGACATAGCGTGTACGAGTACATTATTAAATGATTGTGTTGAAATGGCACTTTTATATGTTTCAATCTATTTTAAAAATAACGTCCTAATGTCTACAATTATTATATTTTACTTTTGCTAAGAATTTTAAATTTTACGATAGCTGTTTATTGCAAGGATGAACTGAATATATCAGAAATGTGATAAATTATGTTTCACTGCTGTTGCTCCATGAAATTCTTATTTTAAAATGGAGAATCCCTTTGATGCGTTTTGAAGAAACAAACATTTAGTATGAAAAAGAGCTTCTTTTTCTGTTAATATATAGCAGATTGATTTGTTCCCCTAGATATCTTTTCTATTTATCCTTCGATAGAAAAATTATTACTCATTACACTCATCAAGGTTTGACCACACGTATATCTCGTCTGTATCTCTTTGTAATATATAAACAAATTAATCATAATTATCCTTATCATGTGATTTCTAAACTGTTGTTTAAGTAAAAAGACCCACCAAAAAATTATTATATTGTCAATGCTTCTGATTTTCAATAGAATTATGTAGTAGGTAACATCCTCTGCTATCTTGCACAAATGCCTGAAAAAGTACTTCTTTTAGGAAACGCGTTAAAGTAGCAATACATCAATGACAAATTCTTGGGAAAATTAAATATTATTAAGGAAGTGTCGTCTGACCTTAATTGATAGTTTGAATGTTTTTGGAAAAATGAATTAAACGATAAAAATATCCTGAAATGGTTAGATTTTAAAATCAGTGATGGGTTAAGGACAAGTTGGTTCAGACTTTTATATCTTATTTAGTACACAAGTCCTATTTATATGTCAATCACATAAATATGTATAACCAAAAACAGGACGAAAAGGAATTTCTGCAAAAAATAAATTCAAATAAACTTTAATCTTGTAATAGATAACACATACTTCCCGATCTTCTTTTAAAAGTACTTCAACCTATATATATTGTGGAAAAACAAGACAAAAATTATTATTTTGGCTGTGTTTAAGTTTGTTTCTTAAAGGTTTAAAAAATGATAAACTAATAGAAATCAACTAGATTTTTTTAAGGACTACAAAAAAGGGGCATCCGCCCTTTAATGGTGTTTTTAAAAAAATAGACCTGAAGAAGAATACACAATAAATATTAGGCTTTCTTAATTTAGGTTCACTTTATGCATAAAATGTCCTTGTCCATATAACAATTAATTGACTAATACCGTAAGTCCCACAGTAAATTTCAATATAAAGTACAGACACATCTTTTATTAATGTGTTCCCTCTCTGATTCGAATTTTCGGAAAATAAATTCTGTGAAATTTCATTTTCAGAAAACAGGAGTATTTGAGTACCTTCAAGAAAGAAAACATAAGCACATTCTTCGAACTATAAACGGAAATGTGCTTTATAACACACAGAAGCAATTATATCATGATATAATTGCACATTTTGGATCAGAGGCTGTGATATATACGGAATATCGAGAATCAGCAGTGGCCATTTTAAAGTCATTTCCAAGATATTGAAAAAAAAAGAATCCCAGCTTACGACGTCACAATGCATTAACTAGCGGGAATATTACATCATTATTAAAACATATTATGTTATCATGTAAATAAAAATTTAGATATGAAAGATGTTTAAAATGTTCTCTAAATTTTACAAATATCTTTCTACAGATTTTAATTAAAACTAAAATAGTGTTACTACTGAGCTTTATCGAGGGAACAAGAATAGCATGTTCTGCAATGTGCTTATACAGGGGATATTCAATTTATTGTAGTTTGATGTAGAATTTATTTCAAGTATTTGATAGGACGTTTTTATATTGTCACAAATGTAATGCACAAGAAAAATATATCTAATAAAACAATCCTGTCTCATAGTAAAATAACTTTATTATACAACTATAAAACATGGAATTTCCCGCCCATTACATGTGATTATGGGTTTACCTTCTGCCAATATAGGTTAAGAAACTCATCTTGTTAATTTCCGGCTGCTATTGGCCGCGCATTTCCCGGGTCCGTTTCCCTGATCTTGACAGGGAGCTCAAGGCGGATGTGACCTGTCACAGGGGCGCCTTTTCTACGATGCATATATGGCACTAGATCCCACCTCTGATGTTTTCATGGGTTCCTGTTTGCTCTGATCTCAATATGCAATTGCTTAGTTGGACTTAAAGGATGATTAGGCTTCGTTATCTTCACATATAAACTCGCTAGGTAAAACGGATATTTACAGTCTCTCATCATTGAAAATGCAATAAACATGATATACATTATTCTTCATAAAATTTATCATATATAATACTAATTATAACGATTATGTAGATTGTGATGGAAGATTGGAATCTTTTTAAATAATTTGTTAATCTGTAGGTTAATTTGATAGATAAGGAAGGGAAAAATCTTAAAGAAGTGCTTGATTTTCATGACTCCCACTTTCTCAACTGCAACAAATCTGATCAATCTTCTTTTCCATAAAATTAGAGCACTGGATTTATTTCCAATTTAAGAGCAACTATGAGATCTCAAATACCTCTTTCAATATTTATTCTGAAAGTATTTATGCTGAAATCTAATTAAAATTATTCACTTTTTTCTTTCATTTAAATCCAAATAATTTAACGTGTGAGAAAAATTAAAAAAGAAAGAAAGAAAGAAAGAAATAATACACCTCAGATTTCAAAACAGAGATAAAAATATTTAACATATATACTACTGTGATGGAGATTGATAGCTTTTAAGTGTTTCTACTCAGGGATAATATGGGGAAATATTTAATAAATTATTTGATAAATACACATGTACTAAGGGGGGTTAAAATAATAGCTCAGTGTTTAGTACTTTCCCAAACTGCAAAAGATGATATTATGAGCAATCTTAGTCATATTTTTCCTTATTTAGATTACATTCGTTCATATACAGGACTTAGTATATACACTGAAACACAGGGAAAAATCACTTCAGGTTCATATTTCCCCGGTTGATTTTATGTGCAGGAAAAAATAAGAGATTCACAAAATCAAGGTAGGTTTTAAAGCTTTCTCGTTACAGAAAAAAGTAATTAGCGGATTTAGGAATTTAAAGAAATATACCGCAAATAAAAATGCTCTCATCTATAACATGGACAAAAACGTTTTTTTTTTTTACATGAGCGA